AGAAGATGGATAAAGTACATACACACACAATGGAATATTATTCAGCCATAAAAAGAATGAAATCTTGCCATTTACAACAACATGGATGGAACTAGAGAGTATAATGCTAAGTGAAATAGGATAGAGAAAGACAAATACCATATGATTTCACTCATGTGGACTTTAAGGAAACAAATGAGCAAAGAAAAAATGAGAGACAAACCAAGAAACAGACTCAACTATAGAGAACCATCGGATGGTTAACCGGATGGGAGGTAGGTGGGGGAATGAGTGACATATGTGATGGGGATTAAGGAGTGCACTTGTTGTGATGAGCCCTGGCTGAGGTATGGAACTGTTAATCACTATAGTGTATACCTGAAACTAATGTAACACTATTAACTATACTGGAGTTACCATTTAAAAAAAAAAAAAGGCTCTGTAGAGAGAGAGGCTGTGGGATGCCTCTGCAGGTGGGGACTTCTGGGGGAGATTCTGAATCTTCAACTGTGACATGACTGCTAGGATGCCTCAGAGAACTCTAAAGATACATGACCTTTCATGTGGTGACCTGTGTTCTCTGGGACAAGGACTAGACTGCTCCCTCTCTGCCAACGTCTTGCTCATTTGGAATCCTCTAGAACTGTGATACAACCTGACAGAAGTAGGGAATTTTCAAATGACAAAGAACATTTCCACTGTCCCAATTGTCCAGAAGAATAGGGAAATTATTCATTAAGTTAAATTGAAGAAATTACAGAAATCTACATTACTTATACATACATGTTTGTGACTGGGCTTCTCTACCATGACAGGTGAAGGAAACGAAGTCAACTAAAGGGGACAAAAGGAAGAAATTAAGAGGCCCCTCCAAACAGGGATAATGTTGGGTAAAATCTCATGGAACATTTGGTTTTCAGGGCAACTTCAATTTTCCAAATGTAATTCTGGAAAAACCAAAGGTCAGATATTTATTGCATTTCACAATAGTAGTGTTAAAATAATGCTAAAGTTTTTAAAAATCAGTAAATATTTCTTAGTATACCAAAGGACATTCCCCCTGAAGTTTCAGGATTAAAATAAGTCTGAAGGATTTGTGCAGCATTTGGCTTCTTTGTTGGGTTTAAGTGGGAGTGAGTTCTTTTTATACCAGCACTGTTGTAAAGGATCTAGGACCATTGACTGCTGCAGAGAAACTAGGATGAATGATGGAGCTTGCCCCCAGGGTGTTTGTGTACAAACCTATTAAGTACTATGTTGCCCTTGACCCAAATTCATCAAAGAGGCTTGTTAATATTTCTATACACTCTATTGTTGGAACTGTGCATTCAGAATCACAATTAAGCTTTCACACAAAGGAGTTTAAGGATGCCTTATTGCTTACATCATTATTGAGGCTAGTTGTGAAGCCTGGCTATGTCCACATTTGGGTGGACACAATGCATGGACATTTCTCTTTAATAACCTAATGAGCTATCTTATATTCTTTGTTTCCATCTCCAAGATTTGGTCAATGCATATGCATAGCTGTTTCCCTACTTTTTTAAGGTATAGTAAGCCATCTTAAGATTTCTTCGAGATAATTGAGAATATATATTACCTATTCTTGGGCCAGAGTGAAAGCTCTGAATTTTCATGGTTAAAAATCTAGTGTATATATTTGTGTATGAATTTTACAGGTTGAAAGCTTTGGCTTTGCCACTTATTTGCCTTATGAATTCGAAAACCATTTGACTTCTCTGCCGCTTCACCAGTATCCTCTGTACAGGCTCAAAGAATTATGAAGCATAAAGTGGGACAGTGTCGGCATATCAGTTCAGATAATTTTAATGGAAATAATAAAATCTCTGACTCCACTGGCTTAAATGATAAATATATTCTCTCATAACAAAGTCTATATGGACAATGTTTCCAGAATTAGTTAATTCAGCTCCTCCATAACATCATCAATGACACCAATTTTTTTTCTGACTAAATTATTTTCAGCACGATAGTTTGAAACTTGATGTAGCTCCCTTCAAAGTCTCAAAATGGCTGAAGTAACTCCAAGCATCACATTTTGACTTAACTCTGTCCCAAAGTCAGAAGGGAAAGAGGCTTCCCTTTCTATAGTGCCTTTTTTTAAGATCAAAGAGAACTTTATCAGAAGGCTACCCCAGCAGATTTGTTTTCATGTCTCATTGGCCAAAACTGTTTAATATACCTATTAATAAAATATATCTTAGACAAAAAGAATTAACTTGAATCAAGATTTATCCCTAAGGTTGGGGTAGAGCCCAGCTTTCTTTATAGTACTTGGCTAACTTATATCTAAACAAAATTTGTGTTCCATTCTCAATGAAGGAGAAGGCTGTGTGTGTGTGTGTGTGTGTGTGTTAGATCCACAATTATATAGGCAACTGACAGCATCTATTAAGAGTATATTCAAAGGTTTCAAAACATTTGCAAGCTTAGGAGTAATTAAAAGAAATGTAGTTAGGTATGCATGTATGTGACTATCTGTGTGTAGATATGTAGATAGATGCTATGTATTTACTTATATGTTAATCACCCATTTTTGGAGATGGTTCAAGAAATAGGTGCCTTCTGGGTGGTTCAGTCATTAGGCATCTGCCTTCAGCTCAGGTCATGGTCCAAGGTCCTGGGATTGAGCCCCGCATCGGGCTCCCTGATTGGCGGAGAGCCTGCTTCTCCCCCTTCCCACTCCCCCTGCTTGTGTTCCCTCTCCAGCTGTCTCTCTCTCTGTCAAATAAATAAATAAAATCTTAAAAAAAAAAAAATAGGCGCCTTCATACATAGCTGATAGGAATGTTAGTTGATACAAACTTTCGTGAAGGCAATTTGATCATTTATCAGAAGGCCTAGAAATATTTATAGCAACTTATTCCAAGGGAACAATCAGTCTCAATTACTTATGCAAGAAGATTTTCATTATGGCCACTTATTCCATATTTTATTTATAAGAAAAGAAACTAAAAGCAGCCTAAATATGAACTAATGGAAGTTTGATTTAATAAACTACAAAACATCCATATATGGGAATACAATGACTATTAAAATTTTTAGAATATTTTGTGTCAATGGAAAATTCTCACTGTTTAGTATAATGAGATTTAAATCGGTATATATATTTTCCAATTAAAATAGTAAATACAAATTATGAATGAACACACACATAGTCACACACATGCATACACAGACACATAGAAACACAGGCAAGGAATAGCCCCCCAAATAAATAAGTAACAAAGTATCCGGACAGTTATGTATGATTTCTTTATACTTAGTATTTTCCAAATTTTCTGTGGAATGGAATACAGTGCTCTGAATCTACATTGTGTTTTCGTGTCAGAAAAATGTTATTAAAATGCTAGACAAATGTGACATTAAGTTTATTTTGTCCAAATCCACTCTCATCCTACTAAATTAAATTTTTAAAAATGTTCATGACTTGGTGATGCTAGTGCCTTTTATCTTTAGTGACATAGATTATGAATCTGAACTAAAGAGATTTAAAGCAGTTTCATCATATTCCTGGAGAATTTGATTGGCCAACATGGCAATTAAAGGATTCTTGGAATTATAATGCTCTTTTCCTCCTTTGAGGATCCAGGAAGGTGACCTGATGGGTAGGTCCCACCTACCCTATTCTTTGTAAGCCCTCTGGCAGGGCTTCCAGGTTCAAGGTGTGGTCCAGTGTTTTTTTGGGACTGTCACCAAGACAGAGGTACTGAGAGGAGACTGAACAGGCCTGGGATTTCCACAGCAAAGCAATTCCTGGATGAGAATCCAGCAACATGGATTCTAGTCCATCTAGTCCATGGATTCTAGTCCAGGTTGATGGATTCTAGTCCTGCCCCTGCTACCAGCTTGCTGTATGAATATCACCAACTCATTGGTTTTCTTTGGACCTTGAAAGATCAAGGTTAACTAGCTCAGTAGTTTTTAATCAGAGGAGCTGAGATTCCAAATAAGTTTTCTCTTTACAAGAGTTCAGCTTTTTTTTTTTTAATGATAACTTTGCAGAACTAGTATTTGAATTCCATGATTCTGTAAGCTATGGTTCCTGACCTCTAGGAGGTTATGGTCTCTTTGGAGGACATAAAATTTACATTTAAGGAGAAAAATTTTATAGGGCATATAACTAAATGTTAAATTGTCAGTTACGGACGATGAATGTGGGAAAGAGCCTCCATGCTGGAAGAAAGGCATTAATTACTACATGGTAGAGAGATGTGTTTTCCACAGGAAGGTGTCTGAAGGAGCTTGATTTTGATGTTGGGTGGGAGATGGCGAAAGAAGAATTGAGAAGTAATAGGGTGCCTGGTACTCTAGAAATAGATCCATCTCCATGTTTGTTGATCTTCAACATGACCTAGAGCTTACCTGTGTAGAAGTGGAAAGAACAGGAGGTTCTGAGTCGGATGGGCCTGGTTTCCTACCCTAACTCCAGGCATTTGTTACCTGTATCGTCTTGAATCAACTTCTGATAAATGGACACATCTTGCTCCCAGAATTGCAAGGAGTAAATGCAGTAGTATTTATAAAGTGCTTAGAACAGGGATCTGCACAAATGCTCAATACATGTTAACCATTACTATCTCTATTCACATGGGAGGAATCTGACTTGAAAATGTAGGGAGGTTAAGGGATTGCCCATAACCACAGGCTAGAAAGTAGTGGAGCAAAGAGATGAATGCAGGGCTTCTAACTCCAGACACTCAACTGCAACCTCTCTCAGCTCTTTTGAAGATGCCCTTAAAATGCTGATACAATGTGGTCTGCAGATGCTTAGTAACCAACTGCCATTATTAGAAAGAAAGAGCCTGGGACTTAGGGTCCAGAGAATCCTGTTTTATGCACAACTCTGCCATTTACAAGCTTTGGATTCATCACTGGGGAGGCTCCTTCAGTGTTCCATGTCTCAACAAGAGGGTTGTGTTTGAAGGTTTCAGCATGAGGAACCTGACCCGCTGATTGAATTTTCAATACTGGTGCTCAGTATTGAAGCCCTAAAACCTTTTTTTTTTTCCCCCCTCGGATGTTAAGACTCCTATAATTTATTCCCGATACTTGATGTTACAAACTTTAGGGTCTTTGAGATATGCAGGATCCTTGTATGTAACTGGCATAAACCCCATTATTTGAGCTCTCTTAATTGCTTTTGTGATTTCTTTCTGTTTCTTCCCACAAAGACCTGTTATGTGCCTTCCATAAATGCATCCAGTAAATGGAGAAATAAACTGGGACAAAAGCTGTACATTCTTATAATCTACACGTTTTCCACACAAGATACATTTTTTAAGAGGCTCCTTGTGAGGATTTTCCATTGGAATGGGCAGGTCCTCATTGCCGGCTACCTGTTTATATTGTGAACAACTTCTCCACAGCGCCGCGTGAATCCCAGGATCTGTGAGGCAGAGAGCAGCCTTGACGAAATGCGTTAACTTTTTCCTCCCTAGACCACCGCAAACAGCAACCAAAGCCGCCATGGCTCCTCGCTCCTCCTCTTCCTTTCCTCTTTCCAAATCATCCCGACAAGTCCCCGCCGGCGCTCTTCCCCTGTTGGCCCGAGTACTCGGTTCAAAGGTTCCGCGGGCGAACAAGAGAAGGGCCGGTAAGGTTTTCAACGCGCCTGCGCAGCATCTTTGCATTCTGACCCTCACGGATGCAAGCCTGGGACACCTATGAAGCCCTAAGACCTATTACTGAATTTCCTTATCCCTCCCCTTTCCTCTTCAAACTCTTGAAGCACTTCAGAGGAGAGCATGGCACCTTGGAATACATTTGGAAAGCTGCTTGCCTTGAGAAACTCGGTAGACGTGTCCAGATTCTCTGGGAACTCAGGCTTGTATGAGTGCTTATGCTGATGGGTTAAGGAGACCAGTGAGAAGTGGATTTCACAATGGTCTCTGGTAACTAGCAAGGAATACATTCTTTTATTCAAGGGGAAATACTGCCTTCTGGAGTTACTAGTTTGTAAGTTGCTATAGACCAGGCTTTTGGAATAAGTTCCATAAATTCTCTTTAAATATTTAAGTTTGTTTCCTGAGAAGGGAAGCCCCTTAAACTGAGAACACCACTGACATTTATTAGCCCTGATGGCTGGCATCTAGTTAGTCCTTTGGGGTGGCCATGCGGCAAACTGCTTTCAGGAGAAGGATGGAAGGTCATAAGCTCAGTGTAGATTGGTCTCCAGGATGAGGTCTTTGGCAGTTGTGAAATGTCCTTAGAGGGAATTTACACACACAGGGATGTGTAAAGAAAACAAGTTTAATAAAAATATAAAAGTGACTGTAATGATAAAATAATACATGCATATTGTAGTAACATTAAGAAATTCAGAATAATAATAATAAAGCATGCATAATTTAGCTCTGTTTGGAATATTTCCTCCTACAGTTTTCTATGCCTATGTCTGTATTCTATGTTGTGAAATTCACACAGCATCTACCAGTTAATATTTTGTCTACTTATTCCATGAACATGGCCCAAATTAGTAAAGTTACAACTGTTCGTGGCTGCAAAATAGACTCTCCTATTGGATGCATTATTATAGTTTTTACCATTTGGAGAAGCATTAACATCCAGTTGCCTCTGTGTCTTCATTTGGCCTTATCATATGCATGTGTTTATTCTTCCTCTGTTATGATAGTGGTCACTGTTTTGTTCAGGTTCATTGAGGAGTGACTAGTACCACACTCAGAGCAGCCCCAAGCAGGAGGGATCCGTGCTTAGGGATACGGAGAGGGAGGTGCCAGCTTCCTAGGTGCTATCCATTAAGGGACCTTTCAGGGAGAAGTAGGTTCCTAAAGAGCTGTGTAATATTAACACATACCTTGGTGGTGGAAGGACCTTGTATAATTACTTTACAGAAGACTTTGTAACTAGACAGAGGTGCTCCAGTGATCCCCTGCCTTGTTCATGATGTGTGTTTTCTAAATTTATATTTGAATTCTTTGTCCTTTTAGAATTCAAAGAGGATGCATTTTCTAGATCAGCTAGCTATTTTTTTCTCCTTATGGCATTAATTTTCCCATTCTGATAAGTTAAATGTAGGGAAAGCATTAAAGTATCAGGAGTTTCAAATAGCTGGGATGTTAGAGACTTGTAAGACGTCAGAACATGCTTTCAAATTATAGTCATTTGATTCTGAATTTTGATGAACTTTTGAAGCAATGTGCCCAGAGAGGTCTTGCTTATGGATTATCCAAAACCTTAGGGAATTTTCTCATCAAGAAAATTATTTTTTCCCCCCAAAGCAGGTGGTCCATTTGACTTGGTTATATTAAAAATGTGGCATTGATCAGAGGAGGCACATACAATCCCTGCCTATCAATTAGGCAGAGGAGGCTATTGGGACAATTCCTGTCTCATCCAGAGAGTGTGTGGCACTAAATGACATTGATGTTCCAATTGCTCGGGCTGAGCAGCTTACAGTGCAGGAGAAGGAATTAAGTGAAGGTAGACCCTCATGCAAATCTTTTATTTATTTATTTTGGTGCAGCTCACAGGTTTGGAGGTGAGGAAGGCTAGAGAGTTGGGCCCTCAATCCCTATTTTTAGGATTTAGAAAATCAAGTCACAAAATAGCACTAGCATGGTATCATGTTTACCTTTCACAGCTGCCGGAGTTTTAAATGTAATGTTCTTTGGACATGATTGATTCTATTTCTTCTTTCTTTCTTTTGGCTGTCAACTTTTAGGTGTATTATAGCTTTTATCCTTGAATCTTATTTTCATTACCTTTCATATTTGCTTCATTAATGTGTGTGTGATTATGGATGGCGGAACCCAACAAATGGTGGTTTAAATGAAAGACTGAGGGTCAAAAAATGCTGTAAAACAGGAACAGCCAAGTGTTGGCGAGGATGTGGAGGATGATGGAACTCTTGTGCACCGTTGGTGGGAATGTAGGATGGTGCAGCTACTGTGGAAAGTTGACCCTTCCTTAAAAAAATTAAAAATAGATAAAAATCATATCTGACAATTTCACCTCTGAATATATACCCCAAATAATTGAAAGCAGGGTCTTAAAGAAATATTTGCACACCCATGTTCGTAACAGCTTTATTCAGAACAGCAAAAATGGAGAAGCAACCTAAGTGTCCCTGGACAGATAACTGGGTTACTAAAATGTGGTATATGCATATTATGGAATGTTATTCAGCCTTTAAAAGAAACTGATACATGCTACAGTATCGATAAACCATAGAGAACATGGTGCTAAGTGAAATAAGGCACTCAGAAAAAGACAAATGCTGTGTGATTTCACTTACATGTGGTACCTAGAGTAGTCCAGTTCATCGAGACAAAGTGTAATGGTGGTGGCCCCTGGACTGGGGGGAGGGAAGTTATTGTTAAATGGGCATATTGCTTCAGTTTTACAAGACAAAGAGTTCTGGAGATGGATGGTGGTGATGAATGCACAACAGTATGAATGTCTTTAATACTGCTGAACCATACACTTAAAACTAGTTAAGATGGTAAATTTTATGTTACGTGTATTTTACCACAATTTTTAAAAATTGGGGAAAAAATGCCATTGGGGAAAGATCTCTTCCTGTTTCGAAATCAACTTTAGAAATAACATTTCCCATGGTTTTCCTTCGTCCATATTAGATAACAGCTTTTTGACCTCCTATAATGATTTGTTCATTCCTTACTTCATTCATTCATTAAACAAATACCAACTGAGAAATCTAAGCATCAGGTATTGTTGTAGACGTCAGGCATACATCAGTGAATAAAACAGAACTTTGTTACTAGTGGAGCATATGTTCTAGTTGGGTGGAGTCAAGCAATAAATGGGTAAATGTAGAGTATGCCAGACAGTGATAAAAACTATGGGGAGAAGTGAAGTGAGGGATGAGAGAAGGAGGGGTGTGTTGCATGGGCCATGGTGCCGTTCTATATGGGGTGGTCTGGAAAGGTCTCACTGAGAAGGCGGCATAAAAGCGAAGACACGAGAGAAGTGAGCGTGCAAGCCACGCTGATATGTGAAATAGCAGTTCCAGGTTCTAGGCACAGCAAATGGATAGAACAGTCATCTCCTCAGTGACTCAGGATTAGATAAGAAGGCTTGTTAAATCTGTAAAATCTAACCTGCCTTTCTCTAGCCTACAAGCATCTCTAGTGTCCTCTGGTAGGATAAAGTACATGGGTTTCATGGCCATTATTTGCTTCAGAGACTCCTTTCCCAGACTCTGGGTCATGGCTGTCTTCCTAAGAGTTTAAGATGATAGAAGTTGGGCCATTGGATAAATGAAGCATTACTGTATTTTTCCTGTAAATGGAAAGGAAAGCTTTAATGGCCCCAGCCATTACTAGGACAATACCCCTTTTTGAAGAACAGAGTTCAGGAAGGGGTACTTTGAGCACAGCATGTAGGGAATTGAGTGCCCATGTCCCATTACTATTGATGAAGCCCCCTTTTTAATTCTGCAGGGTAAATATAGCAACTCTAGAGTCGGGGCCAAAAATATCTCTAAGCAACCAGGGAAAGAGCCTTGCTTTTCCTTTATGCTTACATCTGTGGTTTTCTACTTTCCCTGCTGTTGATAAATAATTCAGAAAAGAAAAGAACTTTACAGCCTGACTTTTTAATGTGGAGGACAAATACATTATGCGATTGGTCCCCGAACACCCACAGGCTTTTAAGCAAGAAGGTCGGTAGTTTGTATTTGTTGGTTGGCAGTATGTTCTTTGGGGCTTTGAAATCCATTGGCTTTGTTCTTGTAACTAGAAAAAAAGAGAGGTCTATGTGGATGAAATGTACAGAACTAATGCTGTCATGTTGTCATGGTCCCTAAGCGGGCTGCTCAGCAACAGGTCATAGACTGGTGGGCTGTGCAGCCTGGCTCAGAAGGAAAGTGTGTATGGGACATCTCGTGACATCAGGTCATTGTCTTGATGCCATAGTGGGCAGGGCTGCTGTGCCACACTGAGCATCTGGGAACCAGTACATGCTGGCAGGGAGGGAATGGGATCAGGATGCCTCATGTTGGAAGTTTGTCCTTGTGCAACTGGTATGTGCATGCTGACCCAAGTATGGGATCTGTTTACTCCTGAAAATCATTTCTAATGTAAGTATAATAATGTATAATATATATACATATGTATATAAAATATAAAGTCAGAAGCTGACTTTGAAGCCTGACTTCTGTGGATATAAATGTTGGGGTAATTCATGTTTAGAAGCAATGTTAATACCCTTATATTAAATAATTTGGGTCAACATTCATAACGAATGCTGATGATTACTTTGTCAAAGGAAATAGGGTGGTGGGGGAACGATTGGTATTGGTTCACTGGAGAGACTTTAATCCAGACTAATATACTACATGCCCTTGGGCAGGTCATTTGACCTCTTTGGGTCTCAACTGAATCATCTATAATAGAATATTAGATTAAAAAATGACTTTCAGAGGCCCCGTTAAAATCTTACCTCTTTGAAGCCAAGAGTCATGGCCTTGCATCTCTTTATCCACAGTGCCTGCCATAATGATAGGCTCTTGTTCCCTTTTTCCTTCCT